TGGTTAATTTTCTTTTGAAGTTTCATTCCATAATGCAAATATTCTAATTAGATACAATTAAAAATTCATGTTTTCTATTACAAAATTAATTAATTTAGTAAATTCTATAATTAGATAGAATACAAATGCAATTAAGTTAAATAATATAGTCTAAACTTAATTTACTAAACTCTCTAAATTAAAATGATTTAAGAGAAACCAATAATTATTAGATCAAGTGTTAGTCGACTATGAAAAACAGTAATTAGAGAAGGGGCAAAGTTACAAAAATTAATCAAGATTTTAGCTTTTCCTTTTAGGAATAATTACTTAAAATGTAAAATATAACTGGTCTTTTAACTTATGTTCAAATTAACACTTAAATGCTTATGCATTTGAGAAATAATTAATGTCTCTAACTTATATTTCTCTCTCACAATGGAGTCATTATGTCTAAAAAGTGAGTTCAGATACACTATTTAGACAGAATATACTCACTTTTTGGATGGAAAGAGCTTACCTTTTAGATAGAAGAACTTAATCATGGGATAAACATAAGTATTTCCAAAAAGAGAGACTTAAATGTTAACTTAGATTTTTTTTTTTTTTTTTTTTTTCCAAATTTCTCAGCGCAAGGCCCCATTGCCCCGTTTGGGCCTTGGATGTAGTTAATGCAGCTACATCCTTAGCCATTAGGTTATACTTTTGTATACTGTCAAAATTATAGAATTTAAAACTTATTTTTTTTTTTTTTTTTTTTTTCCAAATTTCAGGCAGGCCCATTGCCCCTTTGGGCCTTGATGTAGTTAATGCAGCTACATCCTTAGCCATTAGGTTATACTTTTGTATACTGCAAATTATAAATTTAACTTAATTAAAAATAATGAATTTTATAAATGAATTGAATACTTAATAATTAGGACACAAAATGTGAGAATTCATTATAAATGAATGAATTTGTCATTGAAATTAATTCCTTGTTTATTTAATTTAAAAACAATTCAAAATGCATTATTGTAATAAGTAATTAGAATAATTGTTGTTTCTTGAAGGATGATATTAAACAGAATAAATTGGCATTTGAAATTTGATTTTGGGTAAATGATTAATTAATTAATAATTATAGGATTTGGATTCACAAACAATATCCAAGAATTTCACACCTTTTGGTGGAGGAACAAGACAATGTGCTGGGGCAGACTACAGCAGGGTATTTCTCTCCATGTTCATCCATGTCCTGGTTACAAAGTACAGGTATATTGCTCTTCTTTGTCTATACCTAATCTTTCATTAATTCAAATTAACCACTACTTAACTACCAATATACATTCTTAACCTTATGAGCTAATATTTATAGGTGGAGAAATATCAAGGGCGGGAAGATTCGTAGAGATCCTCATTTGCGATTTGAAGATGGCATCCATATTAAGTTATATGAGAAGCATTAACTATATAAATCTGCAAAATTTCATGTTTTTTTCTAATAAGCGTTGGTTTCATGTACTTAATGAAAATAAAATATGAATTTCAAATAAAATATCTTTTTTTTTCATAAACATGAGTTTTCATGCTCAGTCGAAGGTGATATTCGGATCAAACTTTTCTAATATTACTAACTTTAAATTTTGAACTCTGAGATAAAGTTCATTTATAAATACAATCTATTTTTATTAGAAATAAATCATTAAAACTACTCTAGATTTTGCACTCCAAGGTACAGCATGACGGTGACTTGGGAATAGATTCAATTTCAAATCCATCTTCTCCGATGCTCAAAAAACTGCCCTGAACTTTGCGTATTATTACAATCATACCCCGTTTATAACTTGACTCCCGAGACTTATTAGTGCATGTAGAGTTAAAATTAACCCAGCCTAGGTAACTAAACGGTGCATTTTCACTGTCTAACAACCCAATCCCAACTATCATCTCTGTTCCTACATTGTTTTGCAGACCCAAACTCTATCTCCCTCTGCTCTCTCACCCAATGATGTTTAATCCTTCATCTTTTATCGCTCTTATCCTCATTGCTTGTCTTCCTCGTTTGCTCTATTGTGAAGGCTTCGGTTATAGTCGCACTTCAGCTAGGTTATAGAAGTCAAAATAGCAAGAGTGAAGAAGACATATGGTCGAATACATAATCAACTCATGAATTTTGACAAAAACCTTTCAATAACCTCAATTTTAAAATCGACCTTGTCACACCTTTAACTTCACTTTTCATAATACTCCTACACCTTACACCAAAAACTATAATTTTAAATATTTTTGAAAATTTTATATGTAAACCGTTGGTTTGGTATGTGGTTAATATAACTTTGAAATAATAATTTTCATATTTTAACTATCCAATAAGTGTTTAATTGATTTAATTTTATAAATTGAGGTGTTCAATGGGCTAAGAGATCCAATTTTATAAGTTGAAGTGTCCAATAGGTTAAAGTAAAAGTTGAATGTGTTACAAAATTTTTCGTAAAAAGTACAATAATGAATTTATGTATTGAGCCTCGAAAAAAATGAATGAACTTTTTTATTTTTAATAATAAACTATTATTGAGTCTGAAAATTTTTGATAAAAAAAAAAAAAAAGAAAGTAGTTAATGTTTTTTGATTTAATAATGGTGCACAATGGATACTGGGTAGTATTTTAATACCAAAATATTTGAATAGGGAAAAGGAACTTTGCTTTGTTGGAATAATAAATAGTTGAACAATTAAATACGTGTAGCTATGAAACAAACTGCATCTAAACTGTGGCCATAAATTTTGTAGTTACAATATGGCAGTTGCAGTAGGTTGTCGTGGGTATTAAATACAAGTCCTTGTGTTAAGTTTATCTCATCTTGATTTATTACAGAGGTATTATCTTATGTAAAATGGGCATGGGTTGTTGAATGTTAATGAGTCTTTATTTATATAGTGGTTTGCATTTATTGAACATGTTTCTACTTGAGATATGAGTCGGAGGTAAAATGAGTAAGCATAAGAATGTAAACTACATTGGTAGAAAGGTTCTACAAGAGTGGACAACTCAAAGTTACTCTCAAGAGCTGTCTTACCATTGCTAATAGTATAAGGGAGTTTAGATACGGAGAAATGCAGAAAATTGGTTATTTTAAACCAAGGGGAGATCAGAGATCTCTTGATATTTGCAAGAATGATGAAGAAAATAAGTATATGGAACATAAAGTTTATGTTGTGATGAGAAATCTAATTTGTATAAGAATGTTGATCTGTAAGTACAAATGGAGTCAATTCAATGATTTCAGGGGCTGAGGAAGAGATTGATTGGCTTATGCAGGCTATGGAGAGAGATGGCATCCTAATAGATGATGGCTTAGATGTTTCTTGACGTTGAAGTTGGACAAGTGCATACACTAGATGAAGATGAACAAAAAAAAGATGAAGAGCCTCATGCACAACATAAAGCTCATGAAATCATCAAGATGATCTTCATTCATAGTATAATGATGTAGAAAAAATATATATTCACAGCATGCACCACTTGATGATTTTTTTAATGTTAACAGAGAAGCTAATGAACTTGAGTAGCTAAATGCAAATGAAGAAACTGATTTCAGTTCAGTAGCTTTAAGTGATAAAGATGATGAGGAATGTGTGATTACCAGGGAGAACGAGAAGAAGCTAAAAAGTGTAATAATTGATAATAGGGTAGGTTTAAGGCTAGATGGAGGACCAACTAGTACACAACTAAGACCTACAGTCAATGAACTAGGATCATACTTGAAAGGATATGGAATCAGATGCAGCGCAATCAATAGTGAAGAAGGAAATATGCATGTAAAAAAGAGGAAAAAGAAAGAGAAATATATATGATCCTGCATCTGATCATAAGTTATTGCAATTCAGTATTGGTATGGTCTTTCCTAGTAAAAAACAACTACAGATGATTATAAAGAAGTTTGCATTACTCAAGAGTTTCGATATGAGGTGGAAGAAAAGCGAAGCTAAGAGAGTTGATTGTAGATGTCAGGATGGTTGTAGGTGGAGATTGTGTGGGAGCACGTGAGGAAGAGATCAAAGGTGATTAGGTTAAACCAAGAGGAACAAAATTGTTTCAGGTCATCGACAAATAGGCAAGCCACTAAATAATTTATAGTTATGGAATTCTTGAACCAAATTCGACTTAATCCTAATTATAGAGTAGACAAAATGGTGAAGGACATGAATGAAAAATATGCAGTTACAGTCAACGGAAATATATTGGAAACAAGACAAGAAGGAAAAAATTGTTTTCCAGGTCGATCGACAAATAGGCAAGGCCTACTAATAATTTATAGTTTATGGAATTCTTGAACCAAATTCGACTTTAATCCTAATTATAGAGTAGAACAAAATGGTGAAGCGACAATGAAGTGAAAAATATGCAGGTTACAGTCACGGGAATATATTGGGAAACAAGAGAGTTGGGGGGGGGGGGGGGGGGGGGGGGGGGGGGGGTGGGGGGGGGGGGGGGGGTGGGGGGGGGGGGGGGGGGGGGGGGGGGGGGGGGGGGGAAGGAATGTGTTTAAGAGGTTGGTAAACAGTAGGTTTTTGTTGTGGGGTCCCTGCCGGACATGTGGGATCCTATATACATTTTGAAAAAGTAAAAGGGGGAAGGAATGTGTTTAAGAGGTTGTACATAGGTTTTGTTGTGGGGTCCCTCCGACATGTGGGATCTATATACATTTGAAAAAATAAAACACACTTTTTTTTAAGGAATCAAAGTTGGCAGCGAAAGTTATTCAAAGGTTAGCAACCAACCATGATATAAATGGAGAGCCGTGTGTAACTCGAACACGACTCTCATATTACCTCTCTCGTATCCTCGCCTATAAATAGAGGCAGATGCACCTCTACCCAACACACCAAAAACGAGAGAAAAAAAAAATATAGAGAGAGAGTTTATCTAGTTTTTTTGCTTTAGGAAAGGGGCACAACTCAGGATGCAATGCATGTTTGTTTATGAATGGATGCTTTATTAAAACCTTGTTAGGTGGGCAACTCTGGAGCGCAGTGGCTAAAGATGAGAACAATCAAAGGTTCCTAGTTACATAACTTGTTGTTAAGAGGGAGAACGAGGAGAGTTGGATATGGTTTCTATAATTACTCTTTGAGGACCTAGCAATTGAAGATGGATTTGGACTCACAATAGTCAATAATCAAGAAAAGGTATGAAAATGCCATATTTATTTGATACTCTTCTATGTTTGCTAAATTCTAGAATTATGTTGTTTGCAAGGTTTGGAGAATGTAATCATAGAACTTGCTCATTTGCAGAGCACATAAATTGTGCTATTCATATTCATATTAAGTGCAAGAAAATTATTTAGTTCACTTATTTTATATGACTACTTGATAGCCTAATGGTGTTATATTCGAACATTCAAGTCAAAAGGCCTAAGTTTAATTTGTACTCTTATAATGTGTTTTTTTTTTTTTTTTTCAAATATTTAACAGTTTAGAACCCCACAATCCACTTTAAATCTTTATTGAACTATAATAAGGATCCAACTGCAATAAGAAAGAGTGGGCATAAATTAAAGAGAATAATATTTTGTAGGTTTTACCATTAATTTTGATTTTAGTTTTTTTTTTAATTTTAGTTTTGGGTTTGATTTTAATTTTAATTTTAATTTTAATTTTAGATTTGGTTTCATTTTGTAAATGCAACAATAAATATTAAAATATAAAATAGTATTATAAATTTAAATTTAATTGTTTATTATTGATAATTTGGTCAATTATTATATCAAATATCTTTACTAATTTATTGTTTTTATACTGTTTTAATTAAGAAATTTTGACCATATGTAATATATTTTGCTTATGTAATTATGCTCGTTTTGTATTTATATGATTGGAAAGCAATGGTTTTGTATAATAAACTGCATACATAAAAAAATTTATATGATAAAATATATTTTGACCCCTCAAGAAAAATTTTTGACTCCGGCACTGTGGGCCATATAGTATACTCCACTTATGACGCAGAGTTCAATAAAAATCTTGAAGAATTGGAGGAGCTAATTAAGTGCATATATTGCATCTAATTTTTTAAAGAGGAACAAGAATAAGTTTTGTAGAGCTTTTTTTATCAACATATCCGAAAGTTGATGATACGACAAGTAACATTAGAGGTTTTTAATTTCTACATAGCAGAGGCAATGACAATGCCTCTGTAATGAACTTAAAAGATATTAGGACAAAAATTATGCAGATGAATTTTTTTTTAGTAGAAAAGCAGTCCATAAATAGAATGATAGAGTTGAACCGGAGAAGATAGAATTAAGAAAGCTTGGAACTTCATTATATGTCCCAAGATCATCTAATGGAAAAAATTTCTGTGCCAAGATTAGGGAAAAGCTTTTGTTATGTCACTTGGAGAGAGGAAATCCTCTGGTAGGTCATGGCAATTGTCTAGTGTGCCATGCAATCATGCAAACTTGCATTCACTATATGAGACATGATTTTTTTAGATTGTATTGATGAGTACCTTAAGAAAAAGTGTTATGATATGATATACATCAATGGCCTCGCACCTTTAAATGTACAAGGCATGTGGCATAATGTCGATGAGCCACCAATATTGCCACCAGATTACATGAAGAAACCAAAGAGACTAAAAACAAGAAGGATAAAATCTGCTGAGAAAGGACTTGGGAATTCCAATTTTCCCATGATGAGAGAAAAAAACAGAGTGGTTATGAGGTGTCAACATAACTTAAGAGTGGTATCATAACAGAAGATGGTGTCCTAAGATAGAGCAGCCTCCTGCTCTTAGAAATCCTAAATCTATAAGTAATTGTAAAACTGTTTTAATTTTATTCCATAAAATTAGCTGGTTTTGGTAGCTGTTAGCTTATTTCGAAACATTTTAATTATTTTAGTAGTTTTAATAAAATGTAAAAACTAAACATTACATGAGATAACTTTTATAAAATAATATCTTAATCTCTAAAAATTTATTCAAATATTATGTTACTAAATAGTATAAAAGTCAAAATGTTAAAAATTACTTAAAAACTGTTGTCAAATATACCCTACATAAGCAATTAATTTTTTTACAGATAGTCATTCGATGTAAGTCATTTTGAGTAGTTCTTTTGTCTACTCAAAGTGTAATTAGTAATGATTTTTTTAAGTTATCTCATTTATATTAAAAATAATTATTTCTATAATTTTATAAAAGGATAATTTAGTCGATAAATGAAAATTTTATATATTTAGTAATTACTTGTCAATCGTCATTAAAGGACCACGAATTTCTTTTAACAAATTTCCATTTATTCTAAACTAAAAAATTGCAAAATCGAATAAAAATTAAAGCGACCAGTGATCTTTATCCACAAATTTATAGGCACACCAAACCGCCGTTAGAAATTATTAAGCATTATCTTTGAAGCAGGTAACTGAACGCACTAGCCGTTGGAGCCAAAGGGCACCATTAACGGAGTTATTTTATTTCATTTTTTACCGTATAACCACCGCCACTAAAAGCCCGGGAATTTGTTGGTACAGTGACGTGGCACCTCTTTAATGCACAGTCAACGACCACGTCAACACCAACTTTCCCAAGATTCCCGTGGTCTTCACTTCATAACAAACAAAAGTAAATAAAATTAAAATTAATTAATTAAAAAAACAAAAACAAAAAAGGTAAGAAGAGAACGGTAAAAGATACGATAAAAGTGGCAGAATAAGATGATCTCTCCAACTCACTATTCACACGTACTGCCATATGAATCAGGCGGGAATTAGGAGGGGCCCCACAATACGAGGTCACTTTTTAAATTACTAAACTACCCTTCCCTTAACTACTAATCACTTTTTTTTTTTTTTTTTTTTTTTTAGGTAAGAAGGAGAACGGTAAATGAAGATACGAATAAAAGTGGCAGAATAAGTATGATTCTCCAACGTCAGCTTATTCACGACGTACTGCGCGATATGAATCGAAAGAGGCGGGAAATTAGGAGGGGCCCCCACAATACGAGGTTCAGCTTTTTTATTAATTACTAACTAATACGCGCTTGCCCTTAATAACCACTAATGCACGATTTTTTTTTTTTTTTTTTTTTTTTTTTTTTTTTTTTTTTTTTGTGAAAAGACAATTTAATAGGCATTATGTATCAAAAAAATTTATCCATCCTAAAATATAGAATTTGTTGTTTAAGATATATTTAATCTGTTAATTATCTAATATTACCCGAATGTAATTTATTAGTAATTTTTTTATTCTATGAAATTACCTTAATAAATGTAAACCTTGCATGCATCAGTTATAAAAAGTAATAATAACAACAATATTAAAAGAAAAAAACAATATTACAGTTATAATTACAATGCCAATGAATGATGTTTCTCTTTCTCTTTTCCAAATATATGATCTTTACATATTTGAGCATACAAAAGAGATTCCCATTTTTGAATGAAAGTTTCATATATTGATGAATCAGCTTTAACCTAATAGGTGTCAGAGATTAGGTTTAAAAAGATTGATTAAAAACACAATTAAGGGAAATTAAGCCCAAATTGTTTGTTTTTATCCAAAAAGTCACCAATAAATGCTTAAATTTTTGTCATTGCAACGGATAAGTTGGACCTAAACGAGGGAAAGATGATGGCTTTCTACAGCAAACAATTAAAAACTGAAAGAGTGGTGTGTCTCTGTCATATTCATATAATAGAGTTGTTCTGTTCAAACTTAGCTTTTCATTTCCTTTTCAGGCTTTTATCAGTTACTAAAATTGTGTTATACATACTGTCATAAAATCAAAAGAATCAGTTTTAGACACACTCTTGTCTAGGACAGAATATAATAGTCACAGTAAGATTTCAAACCAAAAATGATAAACCAAAATTTAATATAAAGGTGTGTGTGAACAAAGACAGGGGAGTGAATGTGAATCTGACATAGCTTTCAATCTCTCTCTCTCTCTCTCTCTGTTCAGTCACTGTTAAATTATTATCATGGTGTCCACAGCCACAGCCAAACAATTGGCAATAAATCTCATGTGAATAATCAAAATCAAATCCAGAATAGGGAAAAAAGCAATAAATCCAATTAAAGGGGAAAGAAAAGATGCTATCTAACTTTGTCCTATAATTCTGTTCAATGTTTTCATTTTTTTTTTTTTTTTTTTTGGAGTCGTGTTTCAGTCATGTTAAATTATTAATCTAATGGTGTCCACAGCCCAACATGCCCAAACAATTGGCATAAATCGTCATGTGAATTAATAAATAAATCCGAAATCTCAGAGATAGGGAGAGAGAAAGCGAGGATAAATCCAATTAATAGGGGGAAAGAATAAGATTTGCTATCTATACTTTGTTCCTGAAATAATTCCTGTTCATGTTCTATTGTTTTTGTTGTTTTTTTGTTTGGAATAATTGACAGTTTTTATTATTTGATATCTCTAATTATACAATAAGGGTCTCTTAAATAGGGCAACCAAGAAAGGACAACTTTAATATCGGTAATTACAATAGTGCGCTCAAAATTTGTCCACTTTCTAGTTTCTTTGTCCTTTCACTTTTCCCCTGGAAAAATTGTTGGAGCCTAGGAATGAACCTAAAGCTATTAAAGCCTTTCAATGCGCGCCTTCTTTCCCGGTTAAGACAATACAGTGGCAAGATATCAAAGAGAAAATTGCTCACCAGTTTGCATTATGTAATATCAAGGTTGCCTACAAGGAAGTGAATAGTAAATATCACGAATCCTAGATATTGTCAGGGCTCCTCTGCATACCGATCCATCTTCTTTCTTTAGCTTATTTCTTCCTCTGTTATTTTATTAGTATTGGTCATTGAAAATAGTTGCCTCTGTTTTTTCCTCTTTGTTCTCTGGTTTCTTTCTTCTCCTTGCTTCTCTGGCCTCTGTTTACTTTCCACAACAAGTAGGCGGTCTTGCTCCTCTTGCTCCGTTAATCAAAACAACAAAGAGGCTTTTTTCTTAACTGTTCATATTTGTATTATTAAGAGATTAGAACCAATTGCTTGTCATTTGTCTTTGCTAGTCCGTCTTGATGCCACGCTTGAATATTGTTTCCATCTCGGTATGATGCGTTTTCAAATGGAATTAATTTTCATAGCTCCATTGTGTCTTATTAGTTTGTTCTTTGTGGCAATTTGTGTTCTTAATCTTTTGTCTTATCGAGAAGGAAGTTCGCGCTTTGATTCTAGTTCTCTTTAATCAATTGATGGCAGAAGGGATGTGTTTTCTTTCTTTTTGCTCTTGTGGAGTATACAATGCTCAATTCTGCTCGTTCTGCTTTGCCAGATATTTAAAAAAACAATCTTAAATTATAGATAGTATAAATGTGAAAGGTTTTTTTTTTTTTTTTTTTTGGAAAAATTACAGTTTTTATATCTGATATCTCTAATTAAATACAAAAGGGTCTCTTAAAAGGGCCAACCAAGAAAGACAACTAATATCTAATACCAAATGCCAATTTCCATTTCTAGTTTTCTTTTCCTTTCACTTTTCCCGGAAAATTTTGAGCCTAGGAAACCTAAACTATTAAAGCCTCAATGCAGGCCTTCTTTCCCGTTAGACAAACAGGGCAAGAATCAAGAAAAGCTTCACAAGCTTTGCATGAACAAAGGTGCCTACAAGGAAGGAATAAAATACACGAATCTCTAGAATTGCAGCCTCTGCATACCATCATCTTCTTTCTTACTATTTCTTCCTCTGTTATTTTATAATTGTCATTGAAAAATGCTCTGTTTTTTCCTCTTTGTTCGGTTTCTTCTTCTCCTTCTTCTTCTGCTCTGTTTACTTCACAACAAGACTCTGCATCCTCTGCTCCGTTATCAAAACAACAAGAGGCTTTTTCTCTTAACTGTTCAATTGTATTATTAAGAGATAGAACCATTGCTTCATTTTCTTGTGCTACCCTTTGCCACGCTTGATTTTCCATCTCTAATCTTTTCAAGAAATTTTCAAGCTCCATTGTTCTTTTAGTTGCTTGTGCAATTTGTTCATCTTTTTGTCTTATCAAAGGAAGCGCCTTTGATTCTATTCTCTTTAACAATGATGCAAAATGTTGTTTTCTTTGCTCTTGGAGTAACAATCTCAATCTCTCGTTCTGCTTTGCCAGAAATTAAAAAAACAAAATCTTAATTATAGAAGAAAATGAAATCCAATTTCCAAATCCATCGTGGACTTGAATGAAAACTAAAAAACAAATTAAAATCCACAATTTAAAAAAGCAATTAACAAAATCAATACAAAGAAAGAAAAAAAACCCAGATTGAGTTCTAACCTGTAATCTGATATACTGATCAATTTCTTGTCTTTGCTTTTCATCAAAAGCAGCAATGGGGGATTGAGAAAAAGCCATAGATGGGCTATGATTGTTTTCTAAAGCAGAAGGAACAAGAACACTACTTTGAAAGCAAAGATTTTGATTCTTTTGCTGGTGCTGCTGATGATTTTGTAACAATTGTTGCTGTTGGAGTAGTAGTTGTTGTTGCTGCTGCTGCTGCTGCTTTTGCTGTTGTTGATGTTGTTGGATATACGAATAATTATTTAACCCAAAACCACCACAACCATTATTGTCCATAACCAAATCTTGAGAACCGCATAACGGAAACTGCTGCGCTTCTACTGCCATATTTTCCTAACCAACACCAAACCCTAAATCTGAAAGCAAAACAAGCGAAAACCCTTTTCTTTTCTTGAAACCTTCCTCTTTAATTTCCTCTTCTTCTTCCTTTCTTGATCATCAAAGACAGAAATCTCTAATCTTCGGTTTTAGAAGACAGAAAGATATAAAAACAAGAGAAGGTGAGATGGGTTATATATAGTGAGAGGGAGAGACAGAGAAAATGGAGGAGTGATGTGGATTAATAATAGGGGATGGGATTAAAGTAACTGAAACGCAAGACTTGAAAAGGAAAAAGTGAAAAGAGACCAAACAAGAGAGATAAAGGAGAAAGAGAAGGCTTAGGATACTAATTTTCTCTCTCTATTCATTTATTTATTTATTTATTTATTGCTCTTCGATTATTATTATTATTAATAAATAAAATAAAATAAACAAAAGAAGGAGATATGTATAGGACGCGGTAAACAACGACGTACACATGCAGATTTTGTGACTAAACTATCGGGTCAGAGATTTCAGAGGGCGTTTGTTTGGTTTTGAATGACGTATTATTTATTAATTATATTAATTTAAAAGAAAAAAAATATTATTAGAAAATTAAATTTATTTGAGTGATGCGAGAGAGAGAGAGAAAAATAGTCAGTGTTTTTTTTTTTTTTTAGAGAGAGAATATCAAAGATTTGTCAGTTTAGTCATTTGGAAAGCCTGAAGAATAGGATTTTTTTTTCTTTTTATTTTATTTCTTCTTTTGCTTTTGGGAATATGAATTTCAATCACATCTTCTTTTGGGAACCTAAAAATACAAAATAAATAAATATATTTTTCCTTTTTTTTTGGGAATATAATTGTACTTTCCAATTTCCATGAAACTACCTACCCTATATGATAAAAGCAAATAATTAACAAATAAGGAAAAAGCTTATTGTTAACAAATTATATAAAATCCAGCAAATTAAGAGTTGTTATGTACCAAAAATATACAAAAGACAGATTTGTATTCCTAAATTTTTTATTTTAAATCAAATTAATTTTTTATTTTAAATCAAACTAATTTTTTATTTGGGAAATTTCAATTAACAATGACAGGATAAGAACAAAATCATTATTTAAGAATCCCATGTGGAAACCCTTCCTTCTTAACATAAAATAATTTCAATTTTTTTTATATAAATAGTGCTAATAAAATATTAATTCAATAGTGAAATTTCAGACTCCATTTGATGAGTCACAATCATACTGTAATATAATAATTATAATAAAATGCATCTTAACTATAAACAGTACCCTAAAAATTATTTTAATTAGTCTATTATTATTTCACTTTGACTCAATAAGATCATGGATTAATATTTTTTTTTCTAATATTATATGATTATGCGACCTAAATTAAGGTTATTTATTTAGAAATTTCAAATAAAATATACCCATTTTGTGGAATGGAGAATACCAATTTAGTGCAAGTCAACTAATCATTATCTTTTTTATTATTATTATTATTATTTTAATACACAGAACTTGGCACTCCCATATCACTACCTTCATCTTTCACTTTTACACAATTAGGTTATTATTAGTTTATTATAAATTGATTAAATTAATGAGCATATCCAAGAATACTTAGCTCTTAATAATGATTTTAATGGGAAAAAAAAAAAGATAAATTGATTAACCACTACGAATTCTTTTTCTTTATTTTATTTATTTATAATAAAATAATCCAAACATAGGAGTTTGGATATAAAACTACAACCACTAGATTACTTCTCAATTTGTCATATTCATGTCGTCATTTTCCATTACATTGAGCTTCTTGATTCTTCTGGTTCTACGCAATGGAGGTTACATATCAACCCTTTTCTTATAAAAATTACATAAAAATAATAATTATTTTTTTAGATAAATAAAATTACATTGATTTGCACATGCAATATTCAGTTTGAATAGGTAAATTTTATCAAATTGGATAAGCAGACTCTATATGACTATATATCTCGTATCATTCTTGTTTAATTTGGAGATTATTGTTGATTAATTATAATACGCAAAGCATGAAAATTACTAAATGAAACTTGAAGATCAGGATGGATGCAATTTCTTGTTACTGTACATTCAATGGTTAAACGACAAATTGAAATTATGAAAATAGCAAAATTTATCCTTCTAAATTGTTCTTGTTTTACGCCAACGAGATTTTATTAGATTGAAACTTTATTTATCTCCAGAAATAACTTATTTATAAAATATATTCCAAATTATTAAAGAGGAAAATATATTTTTTTTGAACATCTAACAAACTCGAACTCAAACTCACGGTACTCATTAACTATATTTTATAAATTTATTAATAGCCACTGTCATCAGCTACCTATTCCAACTATTGGTTCCCATCCACCTCCACCGTTTCGGAATCCGGCCCATTAAATCACAATCCATGAGGAATAACTGTTTCATTCAATTAAAAAAGTGAATAAATAAAACTTAATTATAAATATTTGCTTGCATATATACATTTAACTAAATGTATATTATTCCATTATAATTATTTGAAATATATCTTTATTATTAAATATTTGGCGTCAAACTGATTGATCTTCAATTTTTATGATTTAGTATTTGGTTCGATTTATTAATTGCATGGAGATGTTGTCACTGCCTCTTCATGTTGACGCGGTAGTAATGCGGTGGATAGCTCTTGGCTATGTTTTGTGGAAGGAGCAGTATTTATCAATTTGTCATTTTTTGATTTTGGTGCTGCATTATCAGGTCATTTCTTATTGCACAATGATGTGGCTGTTATATATTGAAGTTATGACTCTGAGATCAACTCTTATTTGGGCAGGGACGAATGTGTAGGTGCTGAGATAATTTTTACAGATTCACAATAATTGGTCTATGTCTTGTATTCATCTATTTTATACAATTCAGTTTATGATTTAACTATTGGTGTTTATAAGTTAATTTTAGATCATAGAAATGATAATTTATTGAGTTTGGAGGCAAGTTAATATACGTAGGAGCTCACTCTTTAGCAAGAACTCCCTACTTTTATACAAGTTTTCAGATTTCAAATTTTGTTATCTCTCAATATGTTTTCTTAACAAAATATTTCATTCTTTTTTTTTTAAAAAAATTACCACATCGTTTATTCTTTTTATTTGCATTGATTTGATGAAGCATACTTTTTAGAAACAAGTACAGTATGATCTCTGTGATTTGCGAAATACAACTAGTCCGTCTTTATTATTGTTAGAACATAAGGTCTTCTTTTCAATTTTTACATTTTTTCATTAAATACCATATGAAATGATGAAAATACCTCTTTTATTTTCAAAAATACAAAAACGGACTAGTTATATTTTTCAAACTATAAAGACCGTACTATAATTTTTTTTGGTATAATATTTTAGTATCTTTCATTTGACCTCTGTATTTTTTTGTGCAATAGACCTAGTAGTGTAACGGAAATAAAATATAGAGAAATTGATATATTTTTAAAAAAACAAGAATGAACTAATTGTATTTAGCAAACTACAGCAATCGTACTGTATTTTTTTTTTTTCTACTTTTTATATGCTCTGGAAAAATGTCAAGAAAATACACGTAAAGAAAATGTTAAAAGGCTAGTCTAAAAAGGGTAAGAGAGGGCAAGTCCATATATATATGTTTTCAAGAAGAGTGGGCATGGTTTGAAATTTAGAATATGAATTACAAGAATTGGGACTACCGATCACAATCTTGACTTTGATATATTAATTCATAATTAATGCATTGACAAACCCTATTTTCCAACTAATCTTCCATATTCCTCCCTAATAACTATTATAAGAGGATTTAGTTATTAGCTAGAAATGTATGTATGCAGTAATGTCCTACCGTTTACCTAAGAATAGGAATTTCTATCAAAGATTGATAGCGCGTTTGTAGACCAACCTCTCCTTAATAACTTCATTTTCAAATTCCAAAATATACCAAACCATCAACTTTGAAACGATGTTTATTTTTATCTTTTGTTCTCACTAACTTTTAATTTTTGTTGTCCAAACGCATTTCCACTTTAAGTTTTGTTTGGGTGTAGTATTTTGGTAAGCCTTCTTAATGATAATCATTTAATGAGGTTTTGAACTCATATTGTAGAGGTTAAATTTTCCTAAAATGGAATCTCCTTCTATTAATTCAACTCTTTATTGGTTGTTTTTTAATAATTTCTTTTTTTCTTTTTTTTTAAATGTTTATTTTTACTTAAAATATAGATAATTAATTAGAATAAGACGAAATATTTAAATTCACCATTGAACTTTATTACATTAATTTGTGACACTTTTAACTTTGAGAGAGAGCTGTTGTGCTCCTAAAATTATCAATTTTTAGAATATTATACATATTTTTAAATTAACAACAATAGTTTTTTTTTTTTTTTTTTGTTACATAAAGCAAAATTTTAAATTAACAGAAATAGTTTTAACTATCTAATATGTGTTTGATTGATCTAATTTTACAAGTTAAAGTATTCAATAAAATTATTTCGCAAATTCAAGTGTTTAATATGTGTAATTTTATAAATTAAAATATTTAATAAATATATCAAAGTTAAAGTTGAAAATTACTATAAAATCAAAATAATAAAATTTAAGATTGGATTTATATATCTGGCTAGTAAAATAGCAAATTAAACAAGCATTGATGTCGTTGTTGTATTTTATAACAGAATTAAAAAAAAAAAAGAGTATTTAAATTAAAAAAGTAGTGGATGCATGGGCTAATGCTATTGGTAGAATAGCCTAAGGTTTTTAATATTGATAGAGTTAAAATAGTGTCCTACATCCTCATAGTGACACAGTCTATTACCACCATTATAATTATTTATTTATTTATTTATTGAACTAAAACTATATATATCTTCAATAATTAATGTTTTTTATGCATTGTAAAATGGATAACAACCCTATCCACATCTACCCTATGAAACTGTGAACTTCAGAAATAGGGTTCCTTCCATTGATCCACTCTACAAAATTTGTCAGAAAAGAATCTCTGATTAACCATTAACAAACAAGGAATAATAAATAACAAGTTCTGAATCGATTTTGATTTGGATTCGAACCAACGATTCGTTAAACCAGAATTACCGATTCAGTAAACCAACCAGCCAGCGTACGGTAACTAGCCATCTGTTATATTTGAATTATATATGGAGTCATCCTGTTCCTATGAACTTGTACAACACACCATTTCTTTGCACGGTTACAATGGATCTTAAATCACGGAAATTTTGTCAATGCTAGCCAACGATATTAA